TGCCACTGGTAGCAATAAAATGTCACTTTATAATGAGGCAGAAGACATAAATCAAAAGTAGCAAATACATGACATCTAAGAGTCATGGCATGTCATCTAAGAGTTGGGGCCATATTCAAAGCCATCATATACATATGAACAGATAAATAAAATGTCTCCCTTCATTGGCACAATGCATGGCATGTCATTTCCAGCACTGCTTCCTATATTCAGGAGCAATTCCTATTGTCTTCTTTCTGGCACTCCCAGCAACAAAATGTTGCTTTAGTGTGGCAAAAGACATAAATTTAGAGTAATAATATATTCTAACACCATATTATTATTAAAAATTCTTTACAAATTGATAAATAATAATGATTCCTTTCATTGGCAAAATTCAAGGCAGGCAATTTTAAGAACTGCTTCCTATGATTAGGAGTAACTCATACAGTTTTCTTTTTGGCACTGGTAACAATAAAATGTCACTTTAATGTGGCAGAAGGCATAAATCAGAAATACTAAATACATTTTAAGAGTTTGTGGGCACATTCCCAGGCATCATATATTAATGACCACATAAATAAAATGTCTGCCTTCATTGGCACAATGCACGGTATGTCATTTTCCAGCATTGCTTCCTGTATTCAAGGAGCAATTCTTATTTTTCTTTCTGGCACTCCCACGAACAAAATGTTGCTTTAGTGTGGCAGAAGACATAAATTTAAAGTAACAAATATATTCTAAGACCATATTATTATCAATCAATTGTTTACATTTTGAAAAGTAATAAATACATTTTAAGAGTTTGGGGGCATATTTCCAGTCATCATATATTAATGACCACATGAATAAAATGTCTCCCTTCATTGGCACAATGCACGGTATGTCATTTTCCAGCATTGCTTCCTATATTCAGTAACAATTCTTATTGTCTTCTTCTGACACTCCAAGCAAAAAATATCGCTTTAGCATGGCAGAAGACATAAATTAATAAACATATTCTTTATATATTATATATTGGTAATAATATTATTTTACACCACATTATCTCGAATTACTTAGTTTTCAATTGAAAAATAAAATAATTCCTTTTATTGCCAAATGTATTCCACACAATTTCTAGCACTACTTCCTCTAATTACGAGAAAATCTTAGTTTTCTTACTGGTAGCAATAAAATGCCGCTTTAGGGCAGGAGATGTCACAAATCCAAAGTAATAAATACATTGTAAAGGGACATTAACATTGGAGTTTATACGAGTTAACGTAGACAGCTGACATAGCTGAACCATCTCCAAAACCAGTTTTCCACTATTAGGCAGCAAGTTTAAAAATCTGAACTGCAGGCATAGCAGAGATACAAGACACTTCGAATTGACTCCATAAGCTCATATAAACCCCAGAGTGAATTGCCCTTAAGAGTTTGGGGGACATATTCCCAGGCATCATATACTTATGAACAGATAAATAAAATGTCTCCCTTCATTGGCACAATGCATGGCATGTCATTTCCAGCACTGCTTCCTATATTCAGGAGCAATTCCTATTGTCTTCTTTTCTGGCACTCCCAGCAACAAAATGTTGCTTTAGTGTGGCAGAAGACATAAATTTATAAAGTAACAAATATATTCTAAGACCATATTATTATCAATCAATTGTTTACAAACTGAATAATAAAATGATTCCCTTTTATTGGCAAAATTCAAGGTATGCAATTTTAAGAACTGCTTCCTATAGTTAGGAGTAACTCTCACAGTTTTATTACTGGCACTGGTAGCAATAAAATGTCACTTTAATGCGGGAAAAGACATAAATCAAAAGTAAATACATTCTAATGAGTTTTGGGGCCATATTCCAAGCCATCATATACATATGAACAGATAAATAAAATGTCTCCCTTCAATGGCACAATGCATGGAATGTCATTTATACACAAGCTTGCCTACATTCAGCAGCAATTCCTATTGTCCTTTTTGCAGCTTGTAGCAACAAAAGAAATAAAGTAATATATTTTTACTTTCGGAACCATATTATTACCCCCAGTCGCTTATTATGGGATTTGATAAATAAAATAATTCCCTTTATTGCCAAATGAACTTCCATGCAATTTTTACAATGCTTCCACTAATTACGTGAGAAACAATTATAGCTTTATGACTGGCACTGGTAGCAAAAAATTCCGCTTTATAATGCAGCAGAAGACATAAATCAAAAGTCGCAAATATATTTTTAAGTGTTTTGAGCCATATTTCCAGGCATCACTTAAACAGATAAATAAAATGTCTCCTTAAATTGGCAAAATATTACAGTCAAAAGTCTGTAATCCGAACTCGTCGGAACTTCGGCGATTCCGGATTATAGATAATCAATTTAAATCTGGTAAGATGGCATGCAGAAATTATAAAATTAAAAATATGAAACCGTATTTTATGAAATAAAGAGCAATTATGATCTAAAGCGTATCAAAATTTACAAAAAGAAAGAAACTTAATTTTTATTTGTTTACTTTATTATTAAATATTTCTTTCAACACGTGCATGCATAAAGCGTACGCATAGTCGAAATTAGAAAATTGCAACCAGAAAACTATTTGATTTGCATTTGTGATATTTATAATGACGAGGAATTTGATTTAAATCATGTCAAAGATGAAGTACATCGAGATGAAATACTACATTGAGTAAGGAATAAGCCGAATAAAATACAAACATGTGCCCTGAAGATAAGGATAGTGCTGACAGATCAACTTCCAGTTCATTGCACGCCGCGACATCCCCTTCCCAGCGTAGAGCAGTGTGAAATTTATAAACAGATTTCGGAATGGTTAGAGAAACAAAGGAGCTTTTATCCATTTTTTGCAGCAATTCCACTTTTTGTGATGGACATCGAAACATGCTTTCCCTTTGTAGATACAGCATTAGAAATTCTATTTGACATAATCGAAAGTTCCAACTTACTTTTATAAAACTGCTCTAACTGTCTGCAAAAAATAATAAGCCGGATCCAACTCGAAGATTCTGCAATGTTATTTGAATTAGATAATTGGATAATTTTAGCTTAGCTTATACTTTCTGTTATACATTAAACGCGCATGCGTAAACCTATATAATGCGCATGCGTAAAGGTATTACACACATGCGTCAACGCACGAGGTCCGGATTATGGATGTCTGGATTAATGACTTTTGACTGTATATCATTTCAGCACTGCTTCCTGTATTCAGGAGCAATTCCTATAGTCTTCTTACTGGCACTCCGAGCAACAAAATGTCACTTTAGTGTGGCAGAACAAATAAAAATATAATAAATATATTCTATGTTAAGGAACATATTATTACCAATCAGTTAATTATAAATTTATACATCAAATTATGCCTTTCATTGGCGGAATGCATGGTATGCAATGCTTAGCAAGGCTTGCTGAAATAAGAAGCAAGTCGTGCAGTTTTCTTACTGGCACTAGAAGCAACAAAATGCTACTTTAGTGTAACAGAAGACATAAACTGAAAGTAAAAAATACATTCTAAGAATTTGGGGCTATATTGCCACTTATATATTTATAAACAGCTAAATAAAATGCCCCCTTCATTGGATTAATGCATGGTACATTGTTTCCAGCACTGCTTCCTGCATTCAGAAGCAATTCCTATTTTCTTCTTACTGAAAACCTTTATAATATTAAGAACATGTTTGTTAAACTTATCTACTTTCTTCTTAGCATGAAAAAATTAAAACTAAGGCATTTTAAATTAATTTTATAACTATTTTGTTAAGAATTGTCAAGTTAATCGTTATATGTCATTAATTTCTAATTTGTTAATTGCGCTAAAGCGCAATTTAAGCATTTGTTACCTTGTTTATTTTTCAGATTCAAAATAATTTATAATTCGGCAAGATGGAAGGTAATGTTGCTTTTTAATACAATAGTGAAAAATAAATATTTTCAGTTTAAAATTATTTCTTGAATACAATTCCAATACGTTAGCATTATTTTAATGAAATTAATCAACGTTATAATGTTTTAAAAAAATATCATCGAAAAACTCCCAGATTTGCGAATTAAAAACTTTCTGTAGAAACTGATCTTAAAATTTTTAAAATGTCGATAAGTTGTCAAACTGGGAACCGTTTAATAAAGATAAGGTAATACGTCTATTTCCAAAATTACATTTTTTTATTATTTAACTGTTTGAGTTGTTGCTGGCATAAAAGGCAACAAAATAACGTTCCTTATGGCAACTGAGATTAAAAAAATCAGAAAACATTTAATGCACAGTTTTTTTTTTTTTTTAAGAATGCATATTATTATAGAAGAATTGCAAAATGTGTCCCTTCATTGGCACAATGCATGGTAAGAAATTTCCTGCATTGCTTCCTATTCAGGAACAATTTATTTTAGTCTTGTTGGGACTGCAGCAACAACATTTTGCTTTAGTGTGGCAGAAGACGCACAAAAGTTTAAAATAAGAGAGAGAACACTATCAATTGTTTCAATATGAACATAGTAAATGAATGCAAACTTCTGAAGAAATGCTTATTCTCAAAATATTTTAAGCAAAAGACCACTGCTCTAGTACAGGGATCTGCTAATCTAGTTGTGTTTAATTTGCCCCCTTTTTTAAACTACATATTAAGAAATAATGCCCACACAATACTCTAAGACAAACTGCATTATGTAATGCAGTATTTGTAAAAAGAGCAAATAGTAAAATTTTGTACCAACCATTACAGAAAATGGCAATATAAGTTTGCATGTGCTATTACTGAATTTATTACCATTAGTTCATATGACGGAAACTTTCAGAAATATAAATTTTTATTCCCAAAACATTTTTTGCTAACAGTCTACTACTTTTCTAATGTGATAACTATACTTAAATTATCTTTACATTTATTTATATTTTCTAATATAATTCCCCTTATGTTATCAAACATAGAAACTTGATATTTTTACAGCATCAAACTTTACTATTTTAAAACATATTATAAAATCTAAATTTTTTCATACATAAAAAAAGCTTACTTGGTTTAAACTGTTCAGCAGAATATCGTGTAAATAAAATGCCCATTCCTTCAATTAATGCAAGTAAAACACCACCTAAAACAGATGATTTCTTAATTATAGTGCAAATAAAACTAATGAATTGGAAATGCTAAGACGTGAACATTTTTATAATCAAATTATTGGACATAGTGGAAATAAAAAAATATTATAATTGAAGATTTGTAAAATGAATACAACAAACATATTAATGACAATATTGATAGCTGTATTTTTTTTAACAGTTTACAACTTTTAGTTAAAGATTGCTAACCCACGGCACGCATGCCACATCTGAGTTTTTACAGTAGCACGCAAGGACTTCCTAAAAAATTAAAAGATCTGAAAGAGTAATAATATTGTCTGCATCAACTCCATCAATAGATACATATATTAGAATAAATATAATATTTTAATTTCTCTGAAAGATGGTAATTGTTACTCAACTGAAATGCAAATCAAAATTATTGACCTACAGCAGCATACTACACTGTAAAGCAAATATAAGGAACTTGTTTCAACTGAAAGCCATCCAAATTATATTTGCATTTTGGAGATTTGTACCAACAAGCAATTTTCCAAATGGATTGGGGTGTGAGATACTGTTCTAGGTTTGAATCAACATATGTTTGTGAACAAATGTTTTCTATTATGAACATAATAAAATCAAAATACTGTTTAAGATTAACTGATATGCACCTTAAACACCTAATTAGCATCTAAATGAATTCATCCTACTATAGACGACTTAGTAAAAAAACTATATATTCGAAAACCACATTAAGTACCAAATGTTTAATAGTTATTTAGAATTTAAAATGCTTCAAATTTTTACTTTACACATAACCTAACGGACAGACAGAACTTTCACAAATATTTATCAACAATAAAACCTAAATTTGTACATTTGTTTTATTTTTTTAATGTCCACTACTCAGACTTGCATACAAAATGTGCTATTCACAAAAAATCCCATAAAGCAGCTTATAAATAACATTTATTTTACTTTTTTATATTATCTTAATATGCTGGAAAAGTTAGAAGAAGCATGCATAATATTTTTGTTTCAAATAGTGGCACTCTTCCCAAAAAGGTTGGCAACCCCTGGACTAAATCATCTAATTTTCCTAATTACTTCATTTTCTTCCTATAGGTGAGCCAAATCCCTAACAGCAGCCAAATGGTGAAGTCGCTGAACACTGCTAGTTCGATCTGGGTTCAATTCTAGACGAACGTGTTGGTTGCATGAACGTTTTTGTGGTTTTCTTCATGCACAATGTTGATATGAAGCAGCTTTCCTTAGAAAATCTTCCACGGAGGCATGCCTTCCCTTAACCCATGTGCTTTGCCGTAACTAAAATAAACTAACAGGTGTCAAATCACATTTAATTCCTGTAACAAACAGGAATGATAAAAACTGAATGTTGTCATGAAATCTAAGTTGCATAGGTGCTTGATAAAACATTTAACTTCAGATATGGATATTTTTAATGCAGTGCAAAGCACTGTAAATGTTTGGCACTCCAGCATCTAATGACACCAACATTCCTGCCTTATGATGAGATTACTAGTATCTCAATCTGGAATATTCGAAAAGGCTGTCATTTTGTTATTATTTATCTTTTGTTCAAAAGTTCACATCTATATACAGTAAGACCCCGCTTAACGCAGGGGATACATTCCATCGAAGGAAGTAGAGCGTAATGCGAAACAGCGCTAAGCGAGGCTATCTTAACATGTAAATAATGGGGTTAGGGAAAGACGGATAAAAAATGGTTAGGCATTAAATTTAATAATGTTTTTTTAATAAAAATAAATCAAACATTTATTTCTTACAAAAATAAAAACATATAAACGCATATACTTTTAAAAACAAATAAAATTCTCAGTCAGATCATTCAGTCTATTCTGGGTTTCCAATTTTCTGCCTTTTTGTCAAGAAGGCATTATGATAGATTGGCTTAATGGCATATTGCATTCAATTTCGTCGTCAATCCATATAGACAGTCGTTTTTCCATTTCTTCTATAATGTTATTTCTAGAATGGGTAATTCTAGTTGCAGAGCTTGACGTAGTTGCAGTTACCGATGACAGTATTTTTTCTTTATTCTTAAGAATTGTCCTTATTGTTGAAGTTGCCAAAATCAATGCAGCACTAATTTGAGATTAACGTTCACCAGAATCTAATCTTCTAATCACTTGCATTTGAGTTTCCAGTGAAATGCTTTTTCTGGTTGCTTTCTTTTCTTGTTTTTTATTATCACCCATGATAAAAACTAAAGATCATAATATTTGTCACTGTATTAATCTTTATAGTATTATACAAATTTAAACTTACAATAATGTCAACAAATGTTTCAAATGCGTCCACAAAGCAAGAAACACAACTACACTGTTTCGGATATGTTATTTGGAAACCTAGCGCTGCGCACAATTTCGGAGAATCCCCGGGTTGAAATAAAAGAGCGCTAAACCGAAACTGCGTTAAGCAGGGTCTTACTGTATCAACCACTTTTTATTTATTTAAAATGTTTTCAAAACTATAAAAATACTGACACGCAAATAAAATGAAAACATGACAGTTCACCAGACGTTGGAAAATATAAAGCCAACCAACCAATCAAGAAGTGCTTTAAAATTTTTAATATATAGTAAACCCTTGCTGAAAACAGACTTACGGAACACAATTTTGCACATACCCAATTTCTTAACATTTGATTTGCCCAGTGAGAGAATTTAGATTATATGCAGAACATACACAGTGCCTTGCCCACATTGCAATAGTGACCGATTAGAAAATTAATTTATTAACAAAGTCGAATTTGCTTAGAACAACAAAACCAGAGCTTTGACATTCTAATTCTCAATAATCCTTGAGGAAATGGAATTGAAGCCCTCACAACATTGCATCCAAATGCAGAGGTTTTAAATGCTTCCACTGAACACCACTTCCTTAATTCAACCAATGAATCAAGGAATTACAAAAAATTCAAAGTCTACTTTGCCAGGCACGTTAACGTCTTCGCACATAAAGCACTAGACGAAGGAAAGCACAATACACTAATGGAATTTTAGAAGCAATTCAACATAAGACACTGCCCAGAAATGATTAAACTCGCAACAAGTGAATTTAACAATTAATGCTTGAGGCCACCAGCGCTTGCCAAAAGATGTCAATAATTTTAAAGGATTTCCATCGAATGAAAATGAAGCCAGCCAAGGAAATTATACAAATTGCAAAAACAATAGATAGCAAAGGATTCTCAGATAAGGAATACGAAACCAAAGAATTATTCGAGAATGATGATCATGAAATGACAAATAAAGAATTGGAATGACCTTATAACGTTAGCAGAGAAAGAACCTTTAATCCTTTAAAAGGGCATTGGTTATATGAATTGTACCGAAAGTCCAACAAGTTGTTTTTTTTTTTTTTTTTTTTTTTTAAACACCAAAAGCTGAGTTTCTACTGTTTTCTTTTGACTAAAAATGGCAGCATTAGCCTATGAATGCTCAATATTTTGCGATTATTAATGTATCTCGAACTCAGATCTCATGTTTTAAAGTTCATATATTGCACTAAGAAGGGGAATTCAAATTCTACAAAAATAAGACATACACATGCTAAATCATATATATTTACTGCATTTCAATCAAAATTAATAATTAGAAGTTTGATTATTATAAGACTTTAACACTGATATATAAATTATACCGGTGCCCTTACCAATTGAGGGCACCTTACCAATAGATGGCAGCACCGAGGGTTTCTCTGTTCTGCAGGTCAAGAGTATTTATTTGTATTACAATAATTTTATGCTGTAATATGATACATTTGCTTATGACTAATTTACAAGTTGTTTATGATTAAATATTATGTTCATGGGAAATGGGGAGTCTACTGACTCCATTATAGGAATGAATAAAAGTAATTCCTTTTCTTCTTATACTTGCTTACTCCAGTAGCATTTCTCATTCATCATTGTTTAGCTAAAATTTTAATTTAATAACTTCACCCCCCCTGCGAGACAAACTTGCTGATTCCAAAATCGTCGTATGACGTCAAACCTAAATTGATTAATTTAGGAGACCTAAATTGTTTAACTAAACAATTGTCACTCTCATAAGGGAACCAGTGTAGAATGTAGCAAAAAACGAAAAGATATAAGTAATGGCTAATATGCTTTCTCCACAGCAAGATTGTAATAAGATTACAAAGGTAAGCTCACTTACAAACACAGGAATCAGGAATGCACTTCACGACTACTTCCCCTTATACTAGAGTGGAACCGTTGCTCGTTTGAAAGCATGCTTTTAGGAGATCATTTTTGTTAATTTTCAAATAAGAGATTTGAGATCACAAAGAAATTTTTCTCCTAGGTAAGGATATAAGCAGGCAATTTTTTAAATAGATTTTTTACAGTAGGTGAAAGGGGGGGGATATCTGCAAGACCAGTTTCATGCAACAGTGACTGGGAAAGTAAAGCGTTTACACATTTAGTAGCTGCTGAAACGTTATTCGGTTCGTCTCTACTAGGTTACACTGCAGGTACAACGTACACGTCCACAGCCTTTAATATCATAGTTGACGAAGATATAATATCTGATCAAATAAAGAAATTTTGGAAGCTTGAAAGCTTAGGTATAAAACCTGAAAATGAAGCATCTGACACATTAGACAATACTATAATGGAAAAATTCGAATCGGAAATTTTATACAAAAATTCTCGTTACAAGGTTAGGCTGCCATGGAAGTCTGATAGAAAATATGAGTTACATGATAATAAAGCGGTTGCGCTGAAACGATTTGAGAAACTTATAAAGCGATTTTCGGAAAATAACCCCAAACTTGGTTTTATTCTACCAAAAACAGTTTCTATTGCCTGATTATTTACAACCTTAATTTATGGACATCAATTGAACCAGTTCCAGACACTGTTGATAGTGGAATCTCAAATCCACATTTTATTTGCCTCACAGAGAAATCGTTCGCAGTGATTGAAACTACTAGTAAACTACGTATCGTGTTCGACACGTCTTCACATGGACCTGGTGAA